TATCCATATCCATATCCATATCTATATCATCTATATCTATATATCTACCCTTTTCCAACACCTTAAAGCTACAGGACATGAAATTAATTTTGAAGGAACCAGGTTCATTTCCAAAACAGAACACTTCAACAAGAGAATAATTATGGAAGCTATCAAAATAGAGAAATACCCTCACAACATGAGTAAACGTGACGATACCTCCCGCCTACCAGACATCTGGAAACCAGCCCTAGTCAACAAACGACCTCCACCCACCACCCAAGCCGTTACAACACGAAACGACAATAGACACATAGACAGCACCAATCAGCACCACTCTACCAATCATGATACAACCACACAACCAATCATTCCACTTACTGAAACAAAGCCCACCAAGATTTATAGAAAGACGGCAACTCCGATCACACTTTAAGCCCAAAACCCAGCCTGAAGATGGCGAGTGAGACCTCGCTGAAACGTTGCCAAGACAATCTCAGTCTTATACGGGAAAAGACCCGAATACAACAAGACCAGTATCTCTTTAAGCATTAATTTCTATCTAGTTACTACGCAATCAAGGGGGAAAATTAATTCAATTCCAGATCTGATTTCAGTCCTGGTCAGCACTATTATATATAAAACAAATAAGATATACAGGTAATTGTTTTCCTGCCTAGTTCTGCTGATGTGCTAGGATAACTTCCGGAAAGCAGGGGTGGGTTCCTGCCAGCATTACTGTTGGTTAGGCGTGCAAAAAGTTTTGCTCTACGCACGTGTGCATTTGCACCTAAAAAGGTCTGTGCATGTACATGTTAGAAAAGGAAAAGAAAATTAACTTTTTGCAATGAAGATTGTTCTGTGCATGCACAGAACCAAAAATCAAGATGGCACTGCCGCCAATAGAACCGGTTTGGGGATGTGGCAGGCTGAGTTACTACCTACTCAGCCAAATCCACCTCTGCCAGAAAGTCTGGGAACTAGAAGGTATCAGAAGGCCAAAGGACCTGTCATTTGTAGTATAATTATTTATATTGCAATTAAAATCCCTTGGAACACCACAAGCTATACAAAAAAATGGCGGCATTTACTATCTGTAATCAGCTCCTGCATGTCTCTTCTGCTGTTTCTTTCCTCAGTGAACTTTACACATATGACCAACACTCAAGGTTTTTCCACTTTTTAGTTCTGAAACAGGGGTATATGATTTTGTCCCCTCCTCTTTTTTAAATTTTTACTCTTTCAAAGTTGCTTATGAAAAAATGTCCAGGTTTGGGGAAACTTTTAGCAAAAAATGAACTTAGCCTAATCTTCTCTAACTCATTCTCAGACAACCTAGACTTACTCTTTACCTTTCAGACTACTACAGGTAAATTCAAGCCCATCCTAACTCAAAAGTATCACTGCTTCAATCTCATAAGGAGTAGAGGAAACGAGGATTCCTTACCTTTAAATCTCTGTGGATAATAGGGGGCTTCTGTTTGTGCATATGTTGCACAGCACGGCAAGTCTGATAAAATATCTTCAAAACTGTATCGCATGAAAGGGGGCCTTTAGATTCCACTTTCTTTAAAAATTCCACCAGCTGCCCTATGAACATAAAATCCATGAATCACACACATTATAGAAGAGGCAATAGGAGTGCTAATTTTGATGACAGCCAACATAGGCCTATAAATACCACCACACACCCCTGGATCCCTTTACTTTCTTGGTATATTCTAACATAAGAGTTGAAGCTCAGGTGTTTTGGTTCATTCTGAGATTGTGTGATGAGCACAGTGCTAATACCAAGTGAATACATTGTCTGCTGCTGCATGTGCAGTTTGAAAGGGAGGAGAAAATGTGTGAATCAGTCCAGCTGTATGCTGGGATTTTTCTGCAGAGAGATAAGGCTCCCCTAATGTATCCTCTACTAGCAACACCACCTCAGCTATATACTTCTTTTCTTTAATACACTCTATCATTAGTTCGTATGATATTAGACTACAAACAAGTACTGCGGTACACTTCAATTATTACTCAGCCTTTGGAAAGGTTTGGTGCAGTGAGGTTTAGTGTAGTAGTGAAGGTGCTGGCCTAGTAGCCAGGAGTCTCACTTTAGGCTTTAAAGCCTGGTGGTGACTTTGGGCCAGTCATTCTCTCTCTTAGTCCAACCTACCTCACAGGGTTGTTGTGGGGGGAAATAGGAGGAAGGGGGAGGATTAGGTGTGTTTGCCACTTTGATTTACTTATAAAGTAAAGGATAAACATCTAATAAATGAAGGGGAAACAGGGAAGACCAAATGCTGAACAATTTTTGGTTCAGTAACCTGTTGTTCTTTTGGCAAGACAAATGGCAGGTTTTGAAATGTAAAACATCTCTAAAGGTTTTTCTTTTTTTATTTGTGCCCAGGCCAGAACATTTTTTAAAAAGTTATTTTAACTTTGCATTTGTTTCATGTCTGACACTAGGACAAACGGGAGGAGGAAGAAATAAACTTAGTCTTCAAACTTAGTAAAATCAAATAATTAGCCAGTACATTTTAATCTGCAATGAAAACATGAATTAAAATTCAAAGTTCTGAAGTGGGGAAGAGTCACTTAGTCATTCCTCTGCTACACTTAAAATAATGTTTTCCTTCATTCTGTTTCTAAAATATTGCTTGAAACAGAAAGGTCAGAAATGAAAATGGAGGAGTTAAGTTTCAAATTCCAGATAATGAAGACTATATATTTTGCTCAAAGTGCAGAACAGCCCTGGAGCCCTTTGATGATACTAAATGCTTTTGTTCTAAGAAACGTTGCCTGAGTCTTTTCTCAACAGAGCCAGCCTGGCTGAGTCAGTGAATGAGGCTGTCAAGCCAAGGTGATTCCACACAAAAATTGCAACTTTACCTTTACAAAGTTCCGTGAGCAGAAGAAATTCTCCTTGCCCAGTATCCGATTCTTCTTTTCCAATGGAGGCAGCAGAACAGAACTGGACAATGTTTGGGTGTCCAGATAGTTTTTTCTGAATCACGTGTCTGTTAAGGTTTCAAAGTTTCTTGTTTATTTGGAAAACCTCTTTGCAGGTTTGCATGCAGTGAAACTACCGTTTACTCGGTTGGATTATAATTCCAATTCTGAACGAGAGACTGTGGTCGGAAACATGTGCTGACCACCCAGACCAGGATGTTGAAAACTCAATGAATTCCGCATTACGCCACTATTGGCAAAGTTTGGCAACTGCGCTTCCTGCCTCCGATGTGGTCAAGCGTAGCTTACATTGAGCTTATCCAATTAACATTAGGATCAACTTTTAACAGTCAGCTGAACACAACCACATTCTATGCATAATTTAAAGCAGGAGGGAGAAAAGGACAGAGGAAAGCATTTCTGATGTAACAAACATTATTAAGATTAATAGGGCAAAAGAAAGCTGAGTTTCAAACAAGGAAAATTTACACAGATTAGGAGGCAGGTAGAACTAATATGCTCTCTGAAGCAATTATAACTCCAAACAAATTTCCTGTATCATATATTTAATCAAAGATCCCATTTAGACTAGCTCTCCTGTCCTCTGCTACACATGCCTCCTCTGCTTCTCCTGTCATATGAGCAGCAAAACAATTTGGAACACAACAGTGAACCGATATTTAAGCCCCAGATAAACTCGGGTTTCAAATTCTGAGCTGTTTGAAAGACATTAAGATAGTTTCTAGTGTAAATATAAACTGAAGTTTTGCTCTGATGAAGAAGCAAAGAAACCACTTTTGTAGCCTTACTTATTAAACCAGAATTTGATAGTCCAAGCACAATATGACTTCTTCACCTGTCTCCAAAAGGATACCATGAAGCAGACTTCTTGAATGATAGCTTTGTTCTTTTCCTCTTCATTGGACAATAATCTCTGCCAGGAAAATAAAGAGATTTCAAAGAAGAACATTTTGATTTCTTTTCTCTCTTTTGGGGGTGGTGGTGTTTGTTTTGTTTCCAAACAATAGTAATTATACCCTTCCTTCTCTTATAATTATATTAAAAACTAGTTATTAGCTCACACAAACTTTGAATGTAAATGAAGACCAATACACTCATATCACTGATATCACCAAGAGTTGTGGTGGGACAATGCTCAGAATGCATTGTTGTAATTCTGCCCACAGTCTGGAATTCAATCCACCCCAGCTCAAGGTTGACTCAGCCTTCCATCCTTCTGAGATTGGTAAAATGAAGACCCAGACTGTTGGGGGAAACATGCTGACTCTGTTAACCACTTGGAGAGTGCTGTAAAGCACTGTGAGGCGGTATATAAGCGCTAAGTGCTATCATGTATGACCTCCAGCTTTAGATGAAATCAGGCGTAGAGATTATTCCACAAGTTTTGGTTGGATCCTGACTTCACTATGCCAATTCACAGGAATCTCAATTTTCAACTAAAAATCTTCTGGGTTATTGCTAAAAAATATCTCAATGCATGAAACTGTATGCTATCAGAAATCAAAACATGATCACTAGATTCTATTACTGATTAATATTTCTTTATTAGTAGGAAAGGCTCAAGTATGCAGGTAGCAATATTTAACATTCATACACAGTGCTTTAAGGAACAATACTAATGCCATACTTCTCCCCAGTATTTTTACTTTTGCGAAACAAAAAAAATATATATTAAAGAACTTAAGCCAATGACAAAAGGAAAAGAAAAAAAATGAAATATTGGAAGTAAACGCAACATAGACTCAGACACACTTTCTTAGATACAAATTCATATAGGATTTTAAAGAAAAATATAAATATTTTTTTTTAAATTATTTGGTCAATATTTTTATTCAGAACATTTGTTTCACTATAGATAACCAACTAAGGAAACACAATTTTGCTGTTTTATGTAATATTACTTAGAAGCAGATCCGGATTCCTTTATAACAGAACTTTGCAGAGGGAGAAAAAATTCAGCTCTCATGAAACACTTTTTACTCCACTTACAACCACAACTGAACCTGGAATTATAGTTATAAATCATTGTGGTCATTACGCGAGGTGCCCACATGCTTAATGACCACAATCCTGTTTTTCCCTGCTGTGATCATTAAGGGGAGCAGAAGGTTTTATCAGGATATAGAAGAGACCCTGGGAGTGCAGCACCATTCCAGTTCGCATGTGGCCGGCTCAGGGCCTCACATAGTCTCCCCCACCTCTTGAAGGACCCTTGGGCCTTCATCCCGCCCCATCACAACTATTCCACTTGCCTTTTCCAAAGATCACCTTTCCTGAAGAGATCCCAGCCCATGTGACACGCAACCTTCCTGCAGAGGCATAGTTTGCCACATTCTGGAGGCGACTGCCATTCTCACAAGCTCTCAGGCGGACACAATTTTTACTAATCATGTGATTTGGAAAACTGTACCCTTCGGAGAGATGACATGACGGCCATTTTTGGAATGGCACAAGGCGGCTTATGTAAAAGAACGCATGTCACATTAGCCGAGTCCTCTTTCAGAAATGTGATCTTTGGGAATCGGCTTTTGAAAAGGAAAATCAACCGATGTGCTGTATGGCATTCTTGTACTGCCTCATGACATCCTGGAAGCAGGTAATCCAGGAATTTCTGCAGCTTCCAAAATGGCACCCACTTCCAGGGTGACACAAGTGGCTTCTATATAGGAAGGCCACATGCGCATTGCCTGATTCTCTTTCGGAAGCACAATCTTCAGAGGTAAATGGAGCAAGGTGTGATGGGGCAGAGAGGAGAATTAAGGATGTGGTACCAAGCAGGGCAGGAAGCAAGCCCAAGGCCTGTGGCTACCCAGCCAGATGGGAAGTAGATCCAAAGGACACAGCAAGATGGGATGGGGAGGAAAGATAGGCAGGTAGGGGCTGTTGCAGATGGTCATAAGGTCAGGCAGATTACAAAGTACTTAAATTGGGATCACATGGTTACAGTGGAGCAGCAGCAGCCATAAGTTTGAGTACAGATCATAAGTCCCTTGTTCAACACCATGGTAACTTTGAATGATCCCTGAACAACTGGTCATAAATCAAAGACTAATTGTAATCATATACTGTTAACAGTCGTGTGTGTGTACACATATGTACACTCATATGTTGAGTGCTTTTAAAACATTTCATTCATAAACACTAAATAGGGTATGTTACTTTAAGCTAGGAATCCAGGTTTGCCACACATATTGCTTTTTGCTACATAGAACATATTCATTCCTATTTTCTCTCCTGCTTAAACCAATAATTGAAGCTTAGTTTTGCTACGCTTAACACATACATTCTTGCTTTTCTGTCCTTCTTAAACCATAATTGAGAGCTTAGTTTTGCTATGCTTAACACATACGTTCTTGCTTTTCTCTCCTTCTCAATCCATAATTGAGAGCTTAGTTTTGCTGCATAGAACACATTCATTCTTGCTTTCCTCTCCAAATAAGAGTTTAGTCTGATATTTGATTCCAAAATTAGAATATAAGAACAGAATATTTATTGTTTTAATGTTTAGAATAGCACCTCTGACCCTATACCGACACATTATTAAATATCATTTACACTGTTCACTATTTATCACTGTGGGATTTTAATAACAAGTTACATAGTTCGCAAATGATAAAAACATTTAAACAACAGTTATAATTAGTTTTGGGTTCTTCTAAATCAAAAGGAAATGCATCAGGACTCATTTAGAAGTTCACTTTATCTTCTTATTTGGTGAAATTTGAAAAAGCATGCTATATTAAATTGAAAACCAGAATGATTTTGTGTAAAACTGGTATTTGAGAGAAAAATATCCCAGGGGCATAGAAAGAAGGAAATGCTTTCATTTATTCATTATTTATCTGCATTTCTACTCTAAGTTACTGAGAAAGCATTTGCTTGAACTAGCTCTAAGAAGTTTTAGAAATTAAACACTAAATCTTTTTTCTTTCCTCTTCTCCTTAGAATTTGTCTACCAAGTCTGACACTTGCATCACCATTAGCACTTTATGTGTCTAAAACTCTTTTAGGACAAGTATTAAAGAGAGAAAAAAGAAGAGTAAGATAACCAAACATAACACAAGATATATATTACCATATTTTTCGGAGTATAAGACACACCTTTTTCCTTCAAAAAAGAGGCTGAAAAACTGGATGTGTCTTATGCACTGAATACAGCATTTTTTGCCTCCCAAAACTCCACCCTTTTCACAAAAATGGCCATGCACAGCCTCTAGGAAGCTTTCAGAGAACTCCTGGGGGCTGGGGAGGGCAGAAATGAGCAAACAGCCCATTTTTTGCTCAATTTCCCCCCCCACCACCACCACACACTATAAGCTTCCTATAGGCTATCCATGCCCTTTTTTTGCAAAAAA